TTTTTCTTCCTTTCTTTTCATCTTGTTTTACTGGGAACAGACTTTTAGTTAGACACTGAGTTACATTTTCTAGCTCCTTTGTGTATTCTTTCTATTTTGATAAAAGTATCTTGCTTCAATATTTTTAAATGGTCAGAAATGAACTTGTAGCATGAAGGTGAAGATCTTAACTCAGTGCCTCAGAATAAAGATCTGTAATATCAACTCCTATATGGTGTCATGACACATAGATATAGGTTAATACCCTACTCAGAGGCATTAAGTGACTCTGTGTCAAACAGGATAGTAAACTGCTCAGAAGCCTTAAGTTGTCCTCAGACCTCTATACATGTTCCATGGTACATGTGTCCCCAGTTATATTTATTTACACCCATGATTGTGTAAACAATAAATATTATTAAGTTAGAATACAATATAAAAATGTACTACTATCAATATATATCTGGCATGGGAAGTCCTTCTGTATATGTTTTACTTTTATTAGTTAATAAAGAAGCTGCTTTCAGCCAATGACTTAACAGAATATATCCAGGCTGAAAGAAATATATAGAAAGTGAGTAGGCAGAGTGGATGAGAAGCCATGTATCCTCCTCAGTAGACAGACACCTTTGCCTGAGCATACAAAAACTTTGCTGGTAGGCTACAACCTCGTGATGATGCACAGATTGATGGAGATGGTTAGTTAGGATATAAGTAAGTAAGTGATACAACTATGTGATTGGCCAAGGAGTGATGTAAATAATATAGTTTCTGTGTGGTTAGTTTTTGTCTGAGAAGCTGAAACAAACAACCAGCTTCCAACAACATATATCTTGCATGTTTATGACTAAAAACTGTTGAATCATTTGTTTTCTTAAAGTTACAATTACTAGGGCAATGTGGAATAACTGTTCTTTTTTTTGTATAAAGAAAGCAGAAATCAAATTATAATTCATATATTTAGCATCTAATATTTATAGAATCCAATTAATTTAAAACTATTTGAGAGGTAAAGAGCAACTGTAAAGTTATGTCTTAATAAGATTAATTAAAATAATATATACTCTTTTATTTTCAAAATAGTATTTCAGTGATGATTCTCATTTTTAATTAGTGAAAAGTCTAATGTATTAGTGATTCAAATAACTGAATTGACAACATGGACCATCTAATGACCTGATGAACAAAAAAATATTTAAAACTATCAATTTTAATGTCATTTTTAAACTGTACAGAATGTGTTTTAAAAATCTCAAGGTATATTTAATTTTTACCTAATAATTATATACAAAATATTTCCACTGGAAATAAAAGATCTAAACTGACAAAAATTAGTTCAGTATATTATACTTTATTATCAGTAATGCTACAATAGGATTTACTAGCAATGCAATGTTTTCATGTATTCAGTGTTTCATAATTGAATTCTTCTTAGGTACATATCTCTAATAAAATGCATGTATGCATTTAATACTTGAACATACAAGAGAGAAATGACTTACTCAATTTTGAGGCATTAGTATCATGATTTCTCATAATGAGGACACTAGACATTTGAAGCCAGAATCATTGGTTTCTCCCAAACATATAATCAATATAAGCTAATTGGGAAAATTAAATTATGGTAAGAGATTAATAAATGTTCCAATTGTAAATGTTTCTGCTTGAATATAAATTGTGTGTTAATTATTGAGATTAGTGTTTTTCCATATTACAAACTAGTGGGAAAAACTTGTATAAACTACCCATAGCTCACGAAAGATTAGAGTGGAAACTGAGAAAGAATGAGAATAATGTAATAAATTCTACTCCATCTTCATGTAAGAAAAGTAAATGGAAGAAAGAACTGTCCAGAACTAAATACCTTTTTAAAATTACATTATTGGGAAAACTTTACAATGTAATTGAACACAGTTCACAAAGTCATCAGCAGACAATGCATGGACTTATATCACAGTGCTTATTTCAGTGTGTGTGTGTGTGTGTGTGTGTGTGTTACAGAATGGATAGCCAGAGGACAAGGGTGGGAAGATGAATCATGAGAAATTAAGCTTCAAGTTCAACACAAGTTAAAGCAGTAGTAGTATAGGAAATCAGACAAGCAAACACAAATCAAGTAAAATGCAGAAAGAATTACTAAGAGATTATCACCAAAGACTGAGAAAAAAGAAATAAGGTAGGTAGCAACATGCATTCATGAACCCAACAAGGGAAGGTGTACTATTCATATAGCTGGGGATTATTTCTCTTTTTCTTAACTTGCTTATTTGCCCTCCTTGAAGAGAAACACTGCTATTCAGGTAAACATTACTTAAAGGCCTGAATATAACAATTACAGACAACAACTGTCTGTATTGGTAGTATAAGATCAGATAGTCTTGTTTGTCAAAATCCTGTTTGTAGTATTAAGTCTAGAAACAAATACAAACTCAGTAGATTTAATCTTCACTGGCATGTCTAGTTTCTGTCTCATTTTTGAACTAATAGCTGCTGTTTCTCAGTAGGGAATGAGGGTATATGTTTAGGGTGGAACTGTAATTGATTCTGTTTTCATCTACTTTCTTATTTTCCAAGTGAAGTCTTTTAAACTGTCATGTGAAAAACAATAAGTATTATTGATGTGCTTAAAGACCTTGGTGAGTAATTTAAACATAGGAATATAAATCACATATTTTCCATTTCTGCGTTTCTCCTGTTTTATGACTTTCATCATACTTGTTATTACCAGGAATGCTTTTCTGTGGTTATTATCTTATACTGGCATTTGAGTTTGATGAATGAAGACTCTTTGTTTTGTTATTTGCTGTTCTAGTCTTGAGAGAAAGTACGTGTTGACTGAACAAATAAACAGAATAATTGGTGTTTTTTTTTTTTATAAAAAATAGGAGGGCAGGTTCCTATTCAGTCTGCAAATCCTTTAGAATATTTGAGTCACAAATTATTGTATCAATGGAGAAATAGCACATTATCTACTTATAATGTGATTCAATATCCCCTTTAATTTGGAAATATTCATGAGAGTACCAGCAGAATCTCAGTGGATTTCTGTGTGAAACAAAGAAATCTCTTTAATCTTTTCCAATTTGATACCAGCCACAAAAGACTATTAGCCTGAAGTCTGGAAGTAGCTTTGGCGTCATTGGGGTAAAAAATGAACTATAGAGCAGGACAAGTAGTTGGAGTTATGTATTCACCTGTCCTACATTAAATTGAATTGTGGCCTACAGTTATATCTAAATGAGAAATAGAAACATTCGAATTTATTTATTGCCATAAATTCCATGGATACTGGATTGAATTCGTAATAATAGCACCTCTTATAGAAGTAAGTAATCACTACACTAATTAGATCCCAGGGGCAATTATCAGCAATAACAAAAATAGAATTGTAGAAGTTGTAACATATGTGTGCCTAGCCAGTGGTAAATGAGCCTGACAGTTCATTCATAGTCAGACCAGCATCTGCACAGCAAATATCTAGATCTGAGAATACATAGTGTGTCAGTCAGTTACAGCCTGGTAAAAGCAAAGTGAATGCATGGTCTAAGTGAAAAATTACCTCAAAAACATTGGTATTTTTAAGGAGAAATTCGCAGCTGGACCAGGCAAGCTGTGAAAATTGTGCTTCCTGCAAAAAAAAAAGGAGGGCTGGCATAACCTTTCAATTGGTTCTTCATGACTAAGAAGCTCACAGGATGCAAAAGACTTTACACAATTCTTTGAAAACTATGCTATTTGAGGAACATAAAACTCGATTTACTTTAAGGTACATTTTTTTTTTTATGATGAACCAGCATGGTAGCTATTTTCCTTAACAGAGAAGCACTTTAGGAAAATTCTCTGAATTGCTGGAATATAGATAATTTCTTTATACAAATAGCCTTAATGTAGTTTTTAAAATAAAGAATGGCAAGGATCTAAAAATTCAATATTATCTTAGTGTTTATAGTGAAATATAATTTTAAGAGCACAGTATTCATAAAAAACTAACATTTCACATGATTATTACTTGTTTTTAAAAGAGGCATTTGTCTATAAAGTGGTAGCCATAACTGCCCTTGAACTTGTGATGCTCTTTTTTTAACCTTTCTATTTCTGAATTTCCAGGTGTGCACCACAAGGCACAACTATTCATTCTTTCATAACAAGCAGAACTAGCTATGGTCATACCAAATCGTCTTGGAAACTAATCTTGACATTATCTATTTGAAATGCTCGACTATTTTGAGATGCTGACACGTATTCTTCACTTGCAATTTTGCAGTGTGGATCTTATATTTACGCATCATCACTTTATTAAAATCCTCACCAAAAGAAGCATAATGCCCTAATCATAGAAAGGAAGTAAAATAAACAAAATGTTTTTGAGGAAGAAACAACATGTATACTGCACTGTGCTCCAGTATTTTAGGATTAGTAATACTTAAAACATTACTCATTTTAAATTAGTGACCTCTTATTTATACACCATATGTATAAATAGTGATGGAATGAGAACAGATTGGATTATGAAATCATGACTCAACAAAGGAATCCACAAAATACAAACTCAACTTTCTAATATCAGTTTTTTACTCATATTTAAATGTATTAAGGTCATCAGTTAATTCATGATTCCAAAATTGTCAGGTTATTACAACAAATGTCAAATACTCATGAATGTGAAACTGACAATGGTTTGTCATCTTAATAAATTTTACTTTTTCATTTCACACATGAGTATATAAACTAAACTTAGGTAAAATATCCTGGGTTAAGTAACATGAATTTGAAAAACAGATGATGAGAGCACCGCTGTCATCTTAGATATGGACATTTCCTTCCTTTTCAGTCTTTTCTTGCCTTTCTCAAGTTCCTTCAGAGGTAATGTGGAATTGAACAATTTCTAATCCAACATCCATTTCATCATCATTAATATCATCACATGAAAATTACTTTGGTGTTCCAGTATTCTTCTTTTAAATAAATCATTTCTGACTTTTTCTTATAGAAATCACTATTAGGAAAACTATGAGCCAATTAAATACCAAGAAAGATAATAAATGAGGCAATCATCCTTGCGCAGGGGCCATGCTAATCTTCTCTGTATTGTTCCAATTTTTTACTATATGTACTGCCCCTCAATAGAAGAATGGTTAAAGAAGGTGTGGAACATATACACTTTAGAGTTTTACTCAGCACTAAAAATCAATGACATCTTGAATTTTGCATGCAAATGGATGGAAATAAAAAACGCTTTACTGAGTGAGGTAACCCAGAACCAAAAGAGGAATATGATATGTACTCACTCATAAGTGGATTCCAGCCATAATTAAAGGACATTGAGCCTATAATTCGTGATCCTAGAGAAGGTAAATAAGAAGGTGAATCCAAAGAAAAGAATAGAGTTATCCTCTTGGATATTGGAAGTAGACAAGATTTCCAGGCAAAACTTGGGTGCATGGGGGTGTGGGGGGAGTGGATGTAAGGGTAGATGGATAGAGAGAAGGGAAAAGGACAGGATTCAGGAGAGCTTGGGGGAATGGGATGGGTGGAATGGAGGACGGGTGGATATGGGAGCAGGGAAGTAAATATCTTAATTAAGGGAGCCATTTTGGGTTTTCAAGAGACTTGTCTCTAAAGGGGTTCCCAGGTCCAAGGATAGGTCCCCAGATTGTTCCTTGGGCAGCAGAGGAAAGGGTGCCTTAACTGGCCTTGTCCCATAGCCACACTGATGAATATCTTGCATATTACCATAGAACCTTGATCTGGCGATGGATGGAGATAGAGACAGAGACCCACATTTGAGCACTGGACTGAGCTCCCAAGGTCCAAATGAGGAGCAGAAGGAGGGAGAACATGAGCAAGGAAGTCAGGATCACGAGGGCGTTGTCCACATACTGAGACGATGTGTCTGATCTAATGGGAGCTTACCAAGTCCAGCTGGACTGGGAGTGATGGAGCATGTGATCAAAATGGACACTCTGAACATGGCTGGAAATGAAGGCTGACTGAGAAGCCAAGGGCAATGGCACTGAGATTTTATTCTACTGCATGGACTGATTTTGTGGAAGCCTGATTTGTTTGGATGCTCACAATTATAGACCTGAATGGAGGGGGCAGGACCTTGGACTTCCCACAGGGCAGGGAACCCTGACTGCTCTTAGGACTAGAGAGGGAGGGGGCGGTGGGGAGGGGAAGGAAAAGGGAGGCTGGGGGAGGTGGAAATTTTTAATAAATAAAAAAGTAAATTAATTAATTAATTAATTATAAATAAATAATAAATAAATAAATGAGGCAATCAGGCATACTTATTAAAAATAAATTCCTCAATGTTTATGTTCCCTACTTTTTTATAAACACAGAACACATACAAAGAGCTTTTGCAACTACCGCTGATATTAGGAAAGTGAAGCTGGAAAAGTTGATGACTTTTCATTCTAAATGATTTCCTAATCGTAAAAACAGTCCTAGAATATATAATCCTCTTTTTTTTTGTTCGAGTTAGTAGTAACTTAAATTTTGTGAATTGATACTAAGTACCAATATGCATTTCTAAGGAAAACATAACGGTGATATTGGAAAGCCTATACAAAATATTGCAAAAGGAAATAAAACATAAATATCCATGTCTCAATGTACCAGAGAGATATCAGATGTCTTTAATGACAAATTTCTGTATCTCAATGACTAAAGAAACAAGCAATATTAAAATACATGCGTTCATAAAACTTTGAATAAGTTTTACAATAAATATATCATCCTTAATTCTTAGTATTAAAATATGAAAACATTGGATTATTTCTTCTTTTGATGACCAATTTCTTGAGTTCTTTGCATATTTTGGAGATCAGACATCTGTCTGAATGTGGGGTCAGTAAAGATCTTTTCCCATTCTGTAGGTTGTTGTTTTGCCTTGTTGACCATGCTCTTTGCTTTACAGAAGCTTTTCAGTTTCAGGAGGTCCCATTTATTAATTGCTTTTCTCAGTGCCTGTGCTGCTGGAGTTATATTTAGAGAGTGGTCTGTAACATGAAGGAGGACATACTTGTTCGTATTTTTCTGTCCTGCCCAGTTTCCCACAGCTGTTTAATCCCAAATAAAATCACACATAGGTTTTCATAAATTATAAGCTTATTGGCCCATTAGCTCTAATCTCTCACTTGCTAACTCTCACATTTTGATTAACCCATTTTTCTGATCTGTGTTAGCCATGTGGCTCAGTACCTTTTTCAGTGGGGCAGATCACATCCTGCTACTTGGTGATCTGGGCAGGAGTGAGAGGAAGCAACTTTCTCCTTCCCAGAATTCTCCTGTTCTCATTGCATCATTTCTACTTCCTGTTTGGTTTTCTCACCCTTACTTCCTGCATGACCAATCAGTGTTTATTTAAAACATGATTGACAGAACACAGACAATTTTCCTGCATGAGTGGTCTCCTGTGCCAATGTGTTCAAGTGAACTTCCCACTTTTTCTTCTACAAGGTTCAATGGGGCTGGCTTTATACTGAGGTCTTTGATCCATTACAACCTGAATTTTGTGCATGGTGATAGATATGGATCTATTTTCCTTCTTCTACATGTTAATACCCAGTTATGTCAGCACCATTTGTTAATTGTTCTTTCTTTTTTTCTATTTGATATTTTTTGTTTAGTTGTCAAAAATCAGGTGTTTGAATGTATGTGGATTAATATCCTGGTTCTCAACTTGGTTCCATTGGTCCTCCTCTCTGTTCTTATGCCAATACCAGGTTGTTTTCAGTACTGTAGCTCTGTAGTAGAGTTTGAAGTCAGGAATTGTGATGCCTCCAGAAGTTCCTCTACACTACAAGAGTGTTTCAGCTAACCTGGGTTTTTTGATTTTCCATATGAAGTTGAGTACTGGTCTTTCAAGGTCTGTGAAGAATTTTGCTGAGATTTTGATAGGTATTGCACTGAATATGAAGATTTCTTTTGGTAAGATCGCCATTTTTACTATGTTAATTATCTCTACCCAAGAGTATGGGAGATCTTTCCACTTTCTGGGGTCTTCTTCAATTTCTTTCTTCAAAGATTTAAAGTTCTTGTCATACAAGTCTTCCACTTGTTTGGTTAGAGTTAATCTAAGTTATTTTATACTAACTGTGACTTTTGTGATGGGTGGTGTTTCTCTGATATCTTCCCAAGGTCTTTTATCATCTGAGTACAGGAGGGCTAATATTTTTTTGAGTTTATCTTGTATCCTGCCACATTACTGAAATTGTTTATGAGTTGTAGAAGTTCCCTCATAGAATTTTGTTTTTCTGATTTGTGTCCCCTTGATCTCCTTTTGGTGTCTTATTGCTCTGGCTAAGTCCTCAAGAACTGTGTTGAATAAATATGGAGAGAGTGGATAACCTTGTCTTGGTCCTGATTTCAGTGGGATATCTGAAAGTTTCACTCCACTTAGTTTGATATTGGATGTTGGTTTGCTGCTTATTGCCTTTATTATGTTTAGGTATGTCCCTTGTATCCCTGATCTCTCCAAGACCTTTATTCATGGAGTGATGTTGCATTTTGTGAAAAGCTTTTTTGACATCTAATGAGATCACCATGTGGTTTTTATTTTTCAGCTTGTTTTTATGGTGGATTACGTTGAGAAATTTTTGTAAATTGAAGCAACTCTGCATCTCTGGAATGAAGCCAACATGATCATAGTGGTTGATGGTTCTGATGTGTTCTTAGATTCAATTTGCCTATATTTTATTTAGTATTTTTGCATCAATGTTCATGATTGAGCTTGTTCTGGAATTCTTTTTCTTAGTAATGTCTTTCTGTGGTTTTGTTATCAGTATAATTGCAGCCTCATAAAAAGAGTTTGACAAGATTCCTTCTGTGTCTATTGTGTAGAATATTTTGAGGAGTATTGGTATTAGTTCTTCTTTGAAAATCTTTTAGAATTCTGGGCTGAAACCATTAGAGAACAGAGAACTCTCAACAGAGGAATCTAATATGACTGAAAGACACTTAAGGAAAAAACCTACGTGGCCTTTCGACTGCAGAATGCATAAGGAAAATTTGGTACATTTACACAATGGAGTACTACACAACAGAAAATTTAATGACATCTTGAATTTTTTAGGCAAATGGATAGAGCTAAAAAACATCACTTAGAGTGAGGTATCCTGTAGCAAAAAGAGCAGTGGGCTGCTTCCCGTCCCCCTGGCTAGCATTACCTGAAATAATTACACAGAAACTGTATTCTTTTAAACACTGCCTGTCCCATTACCTCCAGCCTCTTTTTGGCTAACTCTCACATATTGGTTCAACCCATTTCTAATAATCTTGTATTTCACCACGAGGTCATGGCTTACCGGGAAAGATTCAGTATGTCTGGCCTGGCAGCTTCATGCAGGCAGCCCTCTGCCTCTGCTTCTTTCTCCCAGCAGAGGAGAAAGATACTCTGCCTATCTAAGCTGCTGTCCTATCAAAGGCCAAGGCAGTCTCTTTATTAGCCAATGAAAGTAACACATAGACAGATGACCCTTCTACATCAGTAACCAGATACAGAAAGACAGTTATCACATGTACTCACTTTCAAGTGATTTTAAACATAAAGTAGAGAAAACCAGCCCTCAAATCACAATCCCAGAGAAGCTAGATAACAATGAGTATCCTAAGAGAGACATACATAGATCTAATCTACATGGGAAATAAAAAAGACAAGATCTCCTGAGTAAATTGGTAGCAGAGACCTTGGGAGAGGGTTGAAGGGGATGTGAGAGGTAGGGAGGGGAGCAGAGAAAAATGTAGAACTTAATATAAATAAAAATAAATAATTATTGTATTGTGTTTTTCTCTAACAGACAATGAGAGATTAAGAAGGGAAATGAATTTAGCTTATGTGTACTACTACTTTTTGTTACAGTGGATTCAGTAACATGTTATAAAAGTTGTGCCTAGCCATAATCTCAGAATATGAAATTTGTGTCAGTAGGGTACTGCAGATGTAATTATTTGAAGAACTCAAAGTGAAATTATAATAGCTATTATGGCTGGCTTTAAATCTAATATGCCTTTATAGAATAATGGAATTTTGACACATAAGGGCTCAACAAAGAAGCAAATACTGGGGCAGACTTTGGAGTTTTGCTGATCAAGAAGGGCTTAAACTGTCTGCAATCCCA